AAGAGTTGACTCATTGGAAAAGACCCTGATGCTGGGAGGGATTGGGGGCAGGAGGAGAAGGGGACGACAGAGGATGAGATGGCTGGATGGCATCACCAACTCAATGGACATGAGTCTGAGTAAACTCCGGGAGTTGGTGATGGACAGGGAGGACTGGCGTGCTGCGATTCATGGGGTCGCAAAGAATAGGACACGACTGAGTGACTGAACTGACTGACTGAACTGATACTTCTTCTAGAAGTCTGTTCCTATCTCCCTAGGCCTAATTCTACTTCCCAGATGCAATCACTGCTCTCATTCTCTTGTATATCTTCCAGAGGTAGCCTGTACATTCCATTTATTTCTAATGCTTGTTTTTCATGTCTTTCTTCATTTTAGGTGACTCCAGAATTAATGATAAAAGCATGTAATTTTTATAATGGGCGTTTACTGAAGACCCACTTTTAGTAAGAACATGAGTTTTATATATTATTCCCTCCTCTTTGTGTTCTTATTCTAGAGATTCTCCATATGAAGAACAACTCAGTTTTGGCCAGTTGTACTGATTTTATCTATTTAATCTTGTTTTCACCATTTTATATTATATATTTCTTTTATATTTATTCAGCTCTTACTTAGTTAAAAGATAGTCTTTGCTTCTTCAAGGTACCACTTTGTCTTTTTTAAAATAGAACTTCAAAACTGAAAGGTCTATAATCCAAAAACTCCAGGTCTATAATCCCCTTATCTGAAATCCTTAGAGACAGATATATTTGGAAATCTAGATTCCCTTTCTTAAAAATTTTTTAAAAAAGGAAATCTCTGTACACACGGTGTATTATGTAACATCTTCAATTGTGTCTGAGATGGTACACTGGAACCAAACATATCTGAACACATTAGTATTTCTACAGTAAAACGTATTTGTATATTCTTGCTAAGTGAAATGAAGAAATACTATGAACTGTTATGTGTCAAATTCTGAGAAGTTTTGATGCAAAATTTAGGTCAGGTCTAGCTTTGCCTCTAAATAGGTTATGGGAGAAAAAAAAAACCCAAAGAAGTTTCAATTTCAGAGCTTTGGGGGCTTTAGAAATGTATACAAGGGAAATGCAAGCTTCAAGAAAATGCAAGGACTGACTGTAAATAAAACAATGCAAATAATTTAACAGCTTTCTTGAAGCTGTGGTTTTGAGGAGGTAAAGGAGGCCCAGTATATTACTTCTCTCTCTGTTTATTTACTAATGTATTACTGTAACTTCAAAATATTATATTCCTGATTTTCTGCTTATAGCACATGGAGAGAGATAGCAATACCTCCTACAAATGAAGATGACATTCTGGCTGAAAAAATGGGAGCAGCAATAGTATATGACAATTTCAGACTTAAAAAACATGTATTACACCACTGGCACTCTTATGTGAAAAATAGAAAAGAACAACTTAGAGGTAAATCCTTATACAGTAACAATTGGTTTTTGTTTTCATGGATCCAAAGTTTCAACAAACTTAACAGTTAAACATAATTTTACTAGAGAATTTATAATTTTTATGTCTATAAAACTGTCATGAAATGTAAAGTCACTAATTTAAAGTATTTAATGAGATCTGTCTCAAAGAGTTTTAGTGTAATAGAAAGCAGGCATATTCAAAATAAAATTCTATATCTATTCGTGTGATATATATACAAGTTTCAGTATAAATAAGGAGCTACTATTAACATTTTTTACAAAATAAAGAGCTGGGATAAAAAGATAGATAGACAGATATCAAAATTGTTTTTTATAAAGAGCTCTTTATTCTTTATATTTCATTTAATGAATTTCTGAGAAAACTTAAAGAAAAATAGTTTTCTTTTACTTAAACCCTTGATAGTTGTAATGAGTGGACAGTGCATGTATGTGCTCTTTAGAGCAGGAATAGAGATTTCATGCAGCTAACTACATATTGATCTGTTTATGGCTGCTGCGAATCAGTAAATCCTTTCCTCTTGATTGGCTCCTGTTGGTACCTCAGAGTGGACTCTGATGATTTTAACGTAAGTGTGGTGGTGGTGGTGGTTTAGTCGCTCAGTCATGTCCGACTCTTGCGACCCCATGGACTGTAGCCCGCCAGGCTCCTCTGTCCATGGATTATCCAGGCAAGAATATTGGGGTGGATTGCCATTTCCTTCTCCAGGGGATCTTCCCAACCCAGGAATCAAACCCAGGTCTCCTACATTGCAGGCAGATTCTGTACCAACTAAGCTAGGTAGTGGGTCTTTATTTCTGAGAGGAAGCAGTTAGTCATAGTTAAGAATGGTGTCCCCAAGGCCTGCCTCGATCATCCGCCTTCCTGGCTTGGCCTCTGTGCTTGAGCTTTGGGCCCCTGCTTAAACATAAATATATATATATATATATATATATATATATGGCAATCTATTTAATCACAGGGTATTTAAAAGTACTATCTCATGACTACTTCTATGAATAAATCTGGAAGTTCTGATTTTATAAAGAACAGATTTGTTAAAAAGGAAATGCTATATAACTTGACATTTTGTTACATCTATAATATCTTAATTTATAAGGGCAAAGGTGATGTTTACAAGTTAATGAAGTCTCAGCGGTACTATATATTGCTGTCAAAAGTAATCAATTTCAGATGCAATTAAAATAAAAACTATCAGACAGAGCACTGTTTCATATTGTAAACCTGATAGAATATTAATTATAATACTGTGTAATTATATACAATAATCTAATGCATTTTCTTCAGATGCACTATTGCGGATACAAAAGATGTTCCACTGCTACAAGATGATAATTACCCTAAATAAATGGAGGGATAGAGCAAGACATAAGTTTAAAAAGAGAGAAGATGAGCTGGTATGGCATATTGTAAACTTATTTTTTTTTTAGAAATTGAACTTTGCTGTTACATTGATGTTGTCTCAGATAATAATGCTATGTGTGGAAAACACTAAAGACTTGAATATTATATACTTTTAATGGGGTCCTTGTTCTTTTAATTTAATAATCTAAATGCCTCCTCACTTACCCAAAATATTTCCTAATAAATTTTGCTCTTTCATTTGAAGTTCAACATCAAGGAAAATTTTTTTTAACATTTCACTTAAATTTATTGATAAAGACACTAAGAATTTTGTTTAAGCAAGTGTTTAGGTGGAAATAAATGTTTAAAGTGGAAGAGAAATGGTTTGCTATGACTATAATAGAAATAAATGATAAAGACTAAATTTATTCTTTTCCAGATAAAATCATAATGCTAAATTATCTTTAAAACTAGTAAATTTCTACACTTGAATCATTCTTAACTGGGACACTTACTAGAAATTAAAGCAGTCAAATCAGAGGATCCAAGCAAACTCCTTCAAACTTATAATAAAAACATCTCTAGTTTGCTTTAGCTGTCAGTGTAGTAGATTATAATTTAATGTTTTTTTAGAATATTCACAGTAACTACTAGGAACACATACAGAAACATGCTGGAATTTTTGTAGTTACATTATTTCGTATGTAATGCTTTACTAATAGTCTGAAATATAAAGTCGGGATAAATAGAAAAGAGAAAAATAGGAAGAAATTAAACCCCATTTTATGGTTCCTGGTGAAGAGGTAACTGCTTGACCAGGCTGCCATTTATATTCCCTTAAACTGAATGTCCCTGAGAGAAGGCAGTGCTGTCCTCTTTAGCCATCCCCGTATACTAAACATAATGTTTTATAGTAATTGATATATATATATAAATATATATGATAGTGTATATTATATATGACAGAGTAATATTATCCTTAATATAAGTGAAAGTAGTGAAAGTGAGTTTCTCCCAGATGCCCATCAGCAGACAAATGGATGAGGAAGCTGTGGTACATATACACCATGGAATATTACTCAGCCATTAAAAAGAATTCATTTGAATCAGTTCTAATGAGATGGATGAAACTGGAGCCCATTATACAGAGTGAAGTAAGCCAGAAAGATAAAGACCATTACAGTATACTAACACATATATATGGAATTTAGAAAGATGGTAACGATAACCCTATATGCAAAACAGAAAAAGAGACTCAGATGTATAGAACAGACTTGTGGACTCTGGGAGAAGGCGAGGGTGGGATGTTTCAAGAGAACAGCATTGAAACATGTATATTATCTAGGGTGAAACAGATCACCAGTCCAGGTTGGGTGCCTAAGACAAGTGCTCGGGCCTGGTGCACTGGGAAGACCCAGAGGGATCGGGTGGAGAGGGAGGTGGGAGGGGGGGACCGGGATGGGGAATACATGTAAATCCATGGCTAATTCATTTCAATGTATGACAAAAACTACTGTAATGATATAAAGTAATTAGCCTCCAACTAATAAAAATAAATGGAAAAAAAAAAAAGAAAGAAAGTGAGTTGCTCAGTCATGTCCAACTCTTTGCGACCCTATGGACTGTAGTCTACCAGGCTCCTCCATCCATGGGATTTTCCAGGCAAGAGTACTGGAGTAGATATGTGTTAACTAGTTAATTGAGTATTTAAAGAAAACGTTTTATTTTAGCTATGTGATTTCTTGGCCTAACAGCACTACTGCATTCACTAGGGTGGAGTGAGGATGGCCGGGGTCTGCTGGGAGGAGGGAGCCACGTGCCAGCTCTCCACCTGCGCTCTCCCTCGGGCTCTAATGCGGGCACATATCACAGCAGACGCGCGCGCGCGTGTGTGTGTGTGGGTACGGCACTTCTTTGCCCTTTAGGGATTCTTCCTTGATTATGCACTTTACTGAATGTATTGAAAGTAAAAATGGGGATTTGCTGTAATGATACATCAGGCAATTCTCCAAATTCTTTCCTTCTGACATTTTTTAAAGAAAAACAGTTTTTTATATATATATATATATATATATTTTTTTTTTTTTTTTTTCTTTCCATTTTTGGCCATGACACATGGTTTCTAGCATCTTAGGTTCCTCAACCAGGGACCTTAAACCCGGGCTCTTGATAGTGAGAGGGTGGAGTCCTAACCACTGGACCAGAGAAGAAGTCCCCTGACTCTCCTCTTATAGCTCCAGGGTAACCCTTACCCTTCCATGCCCCAAGTATCAGTTCTGTCATTAACCAGAACCTTGACTCTGTAGGTTTCAGCTTTCTCATTGCTACAAGAGAAGGCTGGACCACATCTTCAAGGTGACTGCCTATGCCAGTATTGTATGACAACTAGTGGAAATGATCTATAATGCTTTGGTGGTTCAGAGACTATTACATATGCTCTAGACAATGATTATTTATATAATGACAATGATGATAATGTTTATTTGGTGCTATCATTGTATCAAGCATCGTGCTTTATATGTATCATCTCATTTAGTCCTTACAACAATTCCATGGAATCTGTAAATTATTTTCATGGCAGATGCTAAAGCATGAACTTCAATTACAAAAATTCTCCAAGTTAAAATTCAAAACAAGCTCTAAAGAAGAACACGTTTTTCCTGAACAATTTGTGTCTGAAGGCTTTCTTGTAGGTGGGATTACTGAATTTGACATTTCACAGTTACCCAAAAGAGCAATATTACAGGTTCGTATGAATTCATGTCTTAACTAGCTGTTTTGATAATTTCTTAAAGGGTGGTTTTATGAACCTTGTATGAATGATGGAAACCATATTTTGAAGAAAAAATATTTTTTACAACTACCTTTGGGTTATCTCAGTTTTTGAAAGTCATCCATTTGGATGGCTGTAAATTGTTACAATAATCAAAAATGGAGAAATTAAAGAAATAGTAAATAAGAATGAAAAAAATGTCCTTCTTTTCTTCCTCGTTCAAGAACATGTTGTCATTTAAGGTACAACAGATTTTAGATACTTCACTGCATACCTTTTAATTTCTAATCCCTAATCCTTTAACCTTAGTGTTATACCTACACTCTGGAATGTAAACGGGGCTTGTCATAAAGCAACTTTCAGTTAGTTAAATATATTTATGCCTCTCATCTTTCTTCCTTAGATTGTGAGTTCATAAAAACAAGAATCATGTATCTATATCTTATAACTCATTGAATTGATCTCTGATATATAAACCATAATTCCAACTACTGGTTATATTCTGTCCTATTTTGATAAATATGTAATCCCTATTTTGTGGGACTACTTGATAAATGGTGGAAGAATTGTAAAATATCACCTTATTCTGGTTGATGGCAGATTTACATTATAAAATCCCATGTAGTAAACCCATCCTTCTAAACGTGGAACTGAGCTCAAGTTATTTTGGGGAACAAGATGTGTACCTGTATATATATTTCATCTCGCACTTTATGTATAGCACAGAGTCAGAAATAGGACATTTTTGTCCACTGTTTCTTCTTTATAAATTGCCTGTTCACATCTTCTTTGTGTTTAAATTGGAATTCCTATAATTTTCTTACAGCTTATAAGAGAACCCTTTATATAGTGGTAGTTTTCACCTTTTGTCTGGAACATATTTGAAATTTTTTTCCCCTACACTTAATGTGCTGTGCTTGGTCGCTCAATCAGGTCAGACTGTTTGCGGCCCCTGTGGACTGTAGCCTGCCAGGCACCTCTGTCCATGGGGATTCTCCAGGCAAGAATACTGGAGTGCCATGCCCTCCTCCAAGGGATCTTCCCAATCCAGGGGTCGAACCCAGGTCTCCTGCACTGCAGACAGATGCTTTACCGTCTGAGCCCCCAGGGAAGCCCTTAATGCCTCCACTTCATGCTTGCTTTCAGTTTTGCCCATGGAGTCTGATCAGAGAAAATTTAAAGCTTTCTGTAACAAAATCCATTACTGTTGCCCTGATTATTTCCTTTTGTGTCATATTAATATGTCATTCTTAGCTATTTTTCTAAGCCATATCAAACTCCTTCCTACAATTATGTAGCTGGTTTTTCTTTGAACTCCTATATGTTGACTGCTAATGTTTGCTTACATTGTAAGCACCTGAATTTTCAATTCATTTCAGATTATGCCTTAAAATATTTTTTATCACTTTACATATAAGAACCTAGCAAGAGTATGCTTTCATCTTCCTCTTCCTGTGCTTCATGCTATTATTTCCATGTACTTTATTTTTATGTATTTATAAACCCTACACTAGAGTTTATTTTTCCTTTAAACAGTCAATTATATTCCATCCAACGTGTATTTTTAATGTTTAACAATCTCAAACAGGAAGGCTGCAAGTGCAATACAAAGTACTTTTTTTTCTGAACGATTTGAGAGTAAGTTGCTGACATGATAACCTATCACCCCTAAATATCACTGGAGTTTTCACTATAAACAAGGTCATCCTCTTGAAGTCAGCCATCAAAATCCTTGGATCTAATTTGGGTATCCCCAGTTTTCCCAATAATGCAAAAGGATGCAATCCAGAATCACACAAGAACAGCTGACTACCATGGCCATTTGTCTTCTTGAGTCTGCCTTTCTTTAATTTTCATTCCCTTGACATGAAGATCAGGCCAATTTTATTGTAGATCTCTTATTTTAACTTGTTCTGTTTTCTCCAGAATAGATTCAGGTTCTGAATTTTTATTAGAAATACCACAGACATTAGACTGTGCTCTTCTCACTACATGATACAGAATTTGGATTTGCCCAGGACTGGTGATTTCACAGGTGACTGCTTGTTTAAGGTGGTGTCTTCTTCTCCACTATTCAACTGCCCTCTTTGAAATGGATATGCATTTTGTGGGTATGCATACTTTACAATTATGTAAATATTCCCATTCCTCATCAAACTTTCAGTTTATTTATATCTGTATGACTCATGGTTTTCTATTTTATTCAATGAGATCTGTTACCAACACTATTTATTTTGAAGCTCAAACTCTTCCAGATTCAGAAGTAGGAGCCCTTTCAAGTTGCCTTCTATGTCCCTTTGACACGTAACTATTATCCTCTGAGCACTTCCCTACTTTATAGCACAGCATGATATCCCCAGATAGTTGGTACCAAAAACAGATTGATTATATGCAGCTGAAGATGGAGAAGCTCTATATAGTCAGCAAAAAGAAGACCTGGAGCTGACTGTGCAAAATTCAGACTTGAAGAAAGTAGGGAAAATCACTAGGCCATTCATGTATGACCTATTTATGCTTATATAGTAGAAGTAACAAATAGATTCAAGAGAATAGATCTGATAGAGTGCCTGAAGAACTGTGGACGGAGGTTCATAACATTGAACAGGAGGAGGTGACCAAAACAATCCCAGAAAAAAAGAAATGCAAGAAGGCAAAATGGTTTTCTGAGGAGGCCTTGCAAATAGCTGAGAAAAGAAGCTAAAGGCAAAGATATACCCAACTAAATGCAGAGTTCCAAAGATATAGCAAGGAGAGATAAGAAAGCCTTCTAAAGTGAACAGTGCAAAAAAATAGAGGAAAACAATAGAATGGAAAGGCTAGAGATCTCTTCAAGAAAATTAGAGATACCAAGGTAGCTTTTCATGCAAAGATGGGCCCAATATAGGACAGAAACAGCAATAACCTAACAGAACCAGAAGAGACTAAGAAGAGGTGGCAAGAATACACAAAAGATCTGTACAAAAAAGTCTTAATGACCCGGCTAACCATCATGGTGGTTATCCTGGAGTGTGAAGTCAAGTGGGCGTTAGGAAGCACTACTAGGCACAAAGCTAGTGGAGGTGATGCAATTCCAGCTGAGCTATTTCAAATCCTAATAGATGAATCTGATAAAGTGCTGCACTCAGTATGCCAGCAAATTTGGAAAACTCAACAATGGTCTGGAAAAGATCAGTTTTCATTGCAATCCCAAAGACAGGCAATGCCAAAGAAAGCTCAAAGTGAAAGTGAAAGTCGCTCAGCTGTGTCCAACTCTTTGTGACCCCATGGACTATACAGTGTATGGGATTCTCCATGCCAGAATACTGGATTGAGTAGCCTTTACCTTCTCCAGGGGATCTTCGCAACCCAGGGATTGAACCCAGGTCGCCCGCATTGCAGGCAGATTCTTTACAGTTGAGCCACAAGGGAAGCCCAAGAATGTTCAAACTATCATTCAGTTGTGCTCATTTCACATGCTAGCAAGGTAATGCTCAAAATCCTTCAAGCTAGGCTTCAACAGTACATAAACTGAGAACTTCCAGGTGTACAAGCTGGTTTTAGAAAAGGTAGAGGAACCAGAGATCAAATTGCCAACATCTGCTGGATCACAGAAGAAGCAAGGGAGTTTGGAAAAACATCTATTCTGCTTCACTGACTATGCTAAAGCCTTTGTGTGGATTACAACAAACTCGGAAAATTCTTAAAGAGATGGGAATACCAGACCATCTTACTGGTCTCCTGAGAAACCTGTATGTAGGTAAAGCAGCAACAGTTAGAACTGGACATGGAACAACAGACTGGTTTAAAACTGGGAAAGGAGTATGTCAAGGCTGTATATTGTCACCCTGCTTATTTAACTTATATGCAGAGTACGTCATGGAAAATGCGAGGCTGGATAACTCATAAGCTGGAATCAAGATTGCATGGAGAAAAATCAACAACTTCAGATATGCAGATGACACCACCCTAATGGCAGAAGAGGAACAAAAAGCCTCTTGATGACGGTCAAAGAGAAGAGTGAAAAAGATGACTTAAAACTCAACATTCAAAAACTAAGATCACAGCATCCAATCCCATTCTTTAATGGCAAATGGATGGGGATAAAATGGAAACAGTGGTAAATTTTATTTTCTTGGGCTCCAAAATCACTGTGAATGGTGACTGCAGTCATGAAATTAAAAGATGCTTGCTCCTTGGAAGAAAAGCTATAACACACATAGACAGCATACTAAAAAAGCAGAGACATCTTTTTGTCAACAAAGGTCTGAAGCTATGGTTTTTCCAGTAGTCATGTATGGCTGTGAGAATTGGACCATAAAGAAGCCTGAGCGCTGAAGAATTGATGCTTTCAAATTGTGGTGCTGGAGAAGACTCTTGAGAGTCCCTTGGACAGCAAGGAGATTGAACCTATTAATCCTAAAGGAAATCAACCCTGAATAGTCATTGGAAGGACTGATGCTGAAGGTGAAGCTGCAATACTCTGACCACGTGATGCGAAGAGCTGATTCATTGGAAAAAACCCTGATGCTTTGAAAGATTGAAGGTAGGAGGAGAAGGGGATGACAGAGGATGAAGTGGTTTGGATGGCATCACCGACTCGTCATGGACATGAGCTTGAGCAAACTCAAGGAGATGGTGAAGGACAGAGTAGCTTGGCGTGCTGCAGTCCATGGTGCTGCAAAGACTCGGACATGACTTAGTGACTGAACAACAACAATTTGCCTTCTGTGTCCTGTTGACATGTAACTCCTACTTTATAGCACAACATAATGTTCCAGTCTCCACTTGTACTTTCTCTGCTCCATCCTGGATAGGTCATTTATCTAGAACTCTGAATCGTTTTGAAAGGAGAATTGTGCATAGAAACCAAGATTTGAACACTACCTGTGTTCGTTGCCATTGGAGCGTTGCTTCTCCCACGCACTCTTGGTAAAACTAGAGATTCTATAAGTAGGTACACACATACACACATTTCCTCCATATGTACATGTATC